GCATTTGGTAATACGTTTCCACATAAGAATAATGGGATTGGATGAATACAATTGGAGAGGTGATGTCACGATTCGGTGGGTTCATTTTGGGTAAACTATTCATCTTGTTGTAATATTCACTGAATATATCATTTATATAAAATAAAAAAAATTAAAGGGAAATTAAAAATAAATAAACCTAAAGTTAACTTTATAACAAAATAAATTTTAATTTTTTAATTTTGTTAATTAAAACCATAATATTTTGATTTGTTTTCAATATAAATTATTCGTCTATTTTCATTAAGCCTCTGTTTGGCAAGTGAGGTTGGAGGTTTTTTTGGCTATTTTAACCACAAAAAACAAAATAGGCTATTTTAGCCATAACAAACAAAACATCACATCCAACCTTATAGTTTTGACAGTTAATATTACAACACTTATTGTATGGGCGTGGGATTCATACTCATATGGACCTATGTGAGTGTTTTAATAAAAATTTTGATAAAATATTTGGAATTTTTAGCATTTTTGTTCTTATAATTAGACAATACCTTTGCCAGAACATTAGATAATTTTGGAAAGAGTTTGTTAAATTTTAGTTGCTGCAAGTCACTTTCATTTTTTGACCTATTTTTGGTTCTCCGGAACCTCTTTTATTATTATTTAAATTTGGAGTCAAATATTTTTTGCTTTCTAATGTCTCAGTTAGATAATTTAAAAAAAAAGAAATTACTACATAGGTGAAAATAATTCAAATTTTATAAATTAAAAAAAAAACTTAAAAATTTTAAAATTTAAAAAAAAATTCATTAAAATGAAAATAAGCCAAACTAGAAAATAAAGTAAAATACAAATATATTTTTTGAACGTATTGTTTCTGTCATTTTGGAAATTACAAATATCTTTCTATTAAAATTTTTTGTTTAATAAAATTAATAATAAAAAAGGGATGAATTACTTTGGGTAACAAGTCCAATTGCTAGTGCTTCAATAAATGATGGATGATGATGTTTTATTTATATATATATATATATCTTGGACAATTCCATGATTGAACAATCATGGAGATGGAGTACTGCACATGTTGGAGTGATTGGTTTGGCTAATTCAAGGTTTGCCATGAATTTTTCTAGTTAAAATAGTCCAACAAAAGTAAAATAGGCTAAAAAATTAACAATTCCGTTTTGTAGCTCTAATTTCTGAAGGCTTGAATGGCCCGAAATTCTAAAACGACGTCGTTTTAATTTTTTTTTTTTCTTTTTTTCTCTTTCCTTCGTAGTAACTCATAGAAGAAGAAAGAGAAGAGGGGAGGAGAGAGAGAGAGATCAACCAAAAATCCAAAAACGACGTATCATCATCAACGTATCATCATTTCTGTGTAAGAGGGAGAGGCATCAACAACATATCATCATCAACAATCCAAGACGCATCAACAACATATCATCATCAACAATCCAAAAATCCAAAAATCAACACATCATAGATTAAAAATCAACAATCCTCTGTTTTTTTGAAGATCAAAAATCAAACCAAAAAATTCAAAAATTAAATCCAAAAATCAAAGAGATTCAAACCCAAAAATAAAAAATCAAAATCAACACATCATCATCATCAACACAGATCTGTACTCGTCGGTGATAGCGGCTCCGGTGTGGCGTCGGAGATACAGGTGAGAGAGGTGAGAGTGAAGAGATAGAGAGGAGAGAGAGGCGAGAGTGAATGAGAGGGATGAGACGAGAGAGGTGAGAGGGACGAGGCGAGAGTAAGAGAGAGGTGAGAGTGCTGATTTTGTTTGGAGAGGGAAGAGATCGAGAGGAGAGAAAAACTTTCACTTTCGAGCCATTTGAGCCAGATATATTCGAGCTACGGATGATTTTTCAAAAATTAAAACAAAATATCACATCTAAATCATAATCATTTTATTTTTTTTTCTACAAAAGTCAAAAAAGTTAAAAAATTCAACCCAAACGAAACTTTTTAGCTCTATGCTAAAATAATCAAAAAAATTAAAAATCAATTCACATCTCAAATGAAGGCTCAAGATAGATGTTAAAGTGATTGGCTTGGCTAATTCAAAATAGAGATGCGTGCGATTAATAAAACGTATTTGGATGACGTGAATTATTTATTTTTTAAGACATATTAAATAGGATACATTTATAATAAATAAATTAAATAAATATCAGTAATTATTTTATTAAATTGTATTTATATTTAATTTTATATTTTAAATTATATTTATTATTTATTTTTAAAATACAAATATAATTTGATAAAATAATTATCAATGTCAAATCAACTGTTACTATTGTGTCTCCACACAGCTTCCACATCTCCACTTATGACTGATGGGAGTGATAAATCATCGTGATCTCATATTTAGCATATGAATGGTGATGGTGTTATATGTATCCATTGATATAATAATTAATATGTTAATATAAATATGATATTATTATTTTAAAATTATGATTCTATTCATTACAAAAAATCAAAACTTCTAAAATTAAGTCACATTTAAGGTTTTGTTTGAGAACATGTTATTTTAGTAATTTTTTGATTTTTTACAAAAAGATGTGCGAAAAAATAGAGAGAGTAATGTGACAAATTATAATAATTTTTTGAATTTTTAACTAAAACATTAGTCTCTAAATGAGACTTAAATACACTAATTAATATACCAATTAGTACGCATAACAATATTCATGTACATGGTTAGGCCAATTATTTGATATAACTCCGCTACATAGCTCGAAGTATCAACAGTTTGAATGGCTCGAAATTTCAAAACGACGTCGTTTTAGGATTTTTTTTTATTTTCTTACCGGTAAGATAATATTTTCCGTACCATTCGGACCATTCGAGCTCTACGCATTCGAGCTCTCACGCATTTTCCTATTTGATATTCTATTGTATGCTTTTATTATGGATTAAAGTGATTTTATTTATGAATTAAAGTAGTATTGATTATAATTTAAAGTAGTAATCAAACCAAGGTGAGGTCAGCCTACGATTAAGTGCTCTTTTGGAAAGCTGGTTAAAAGTTGATATCTAATTTTTAACTCATTTTAGGTCATATCACTTATCACATAACTTACTCATAAAAAGACAAAATAAATTAAAATGGCCAAAAAAATTAACTTTTAACCAATTTCTCAAAACACCTCTAACTCAAAGTGCGTTAAATTTAGTTATGAGATTAGGTGACGTTTGGATATAAGACACTATTATAATTAATGTCGTTTTTCATCAAATATTATTAAAAAAGTTACGAATTGTTAATTTTCAGCGACAGTTTGAAAATTATCACAAAAAATATCACTAATTATAAGTTGTAGCGACAGTTTAAAAAATCATCATAAAAAAATGTTACTAATTTTTAACTTTCAGCCATGATTTGAAAAATTCGTCAAAGAAAAATGTCATTAATTGTAAGTTTTAGTTACAATTTATAAAATCCATAACAAAAAAACAGTCATTAATTGTAATTTTTAGTGACGCATGTAAAAAATAGTCACAAAAAACTATTTTTAGTGACGATTTTATTGAAACTTATTTTCAATAAGACTTGATAAAAATTAAATCTAATTATTAAAATTTATTGATAGTTTATCCTATAATAAGATGCTGATTTATATAATCTTTAGACTATTCTGTTATTATTATTTTTTAAATCGCAGTTTCCTTGTTTTGGAATTGCGTGACATTGGTGGGAGTCAAAGTGTTAAAAGAAAAACTAGTGTATTTATACTTGTTAATGAAGTATACCTAGCATCTGTTGATGCTTTACTTCAAGATATATCAAAAATTTCTGGTGTATAATACATATCGTATGTAATTTTATTATAAAATTATATAAATTTTTACAAATTTACATAAGTAATCTTACAAAAATATATAAATTAAATACAAATTCACAAAATTCTTAAATTTTCATGAGTTTATGTAAATTTGTGTTTAATTTACATATTGTTGTAAAATTATTTATGTAAATTCATAAAAAATTATATAATTTTAATATAAAATTATACACAATGTGTATTCCATACCGAAACAATTTTCAAATTTATATGGTTAGCTTCAACCATTCAAATTTGTATGGTTTGCTTCAACCATCGTTGTATTTTGAATTTTGTTTTGTTTTGTTTGGTTTGCCTCTCAATTGTGTCTTCTTAGTGACAGATTTTGGGCCCACTATGTATTTGAAGGGCTACGTTTGAGCCACTCAAATTTTAGACATTTTTGTTGGTTTGGGATTGACTTTTCAAATGATTTTTAATTTTTTTTTTATAGCCTCTGTTTGGCAAGTTAGTTTTCAGGCTTTTTTGGCTATTTTAGTCACAAAAAACAAAATAAACTATTTTAGCCATAACAAACAAAACATCACATCCAACCCATAATCATTACATTCTTCTCTCACAAAAAAAGTCAAAAAAGCCAAAAAGCCCTTCCCAAACCAAGCTTTTTAGCCCAGGCTAAAATAGCCAAAAAAGCCAAAAAGTCAAAAAGCCAACCCACTTCCCAAACCAAGCCATAGTAAAATGTAAGTTGAAAATTATCAATATGGTTGGAAAAGATTCTGTAACTATTATGAAAAAAATATATAAAAGTAAATTAAAGGAGAATTTATATGTTGATATCTTCAAAAATTAATTATAAATTCATGAAAAAATTTATAATTTTATTTTTTAATATTTATAAAGTATATCATTAATTTGAAAATATTTTTCTAAACATCCACTGATGTGAAATTACTCCTAAATTAAATGGGAAGAAATCTTTGACAAATTAAACACTTTTTGATTTTTTAAGTAGGTTCTTATATTTCTTCCATCAGGAAATTTATTTAGTTAATTTTCAAAGATTGTTAAAAATATTTTTACTATAAATAATAGTAATAATTTATATTCATGCTATCAAGAGCAGCTGTTAGGTCTCACAAGGACCTCAAAGAGAAGACACAAAGGAGCCCAAAAAAAAAAAAAAAATTTCAAGGAAAAGAGAAATTAGAAATGATATATAGAAGTCCTCATAATTATTACAATTTTATTGATAACAATTACTATTACAAAACTTATTGGCTTGTACATCAATCTCTTCATAGAGGAAAATAAAATAAGAGCAATATTTAGGTGATAATATTTAGGTAGTATACGATATAGCGTAATCACATTAATTGTATAGTGAAATAAAAGATAAGAAGTGGAGTCAATGAAACGAGTTTTAGATAATACCTAAACGTGATCACTCTCAAATAAGGAAGGAGATGTACTCGAATTTGACAAGAAAGGCGAAGAAAAAAGAGCAAAAATGAGAGGAATCTAATTTCTAAATTCAAGAAATGTCGTCGAATTTAGGCCTGTGGTGGCTTGAAAACACCCAGAAGCAGTTGCAGCTCAATTGTTTTGTTATATATATATAAAAATCGGAAAATTTAAGCACACGTAGGGGGTATTTTGGGAATTCCTTGACGTTGCAGTTCCCCCAACACACTGTCAATAGATGGAGGTTTTAGTCCAAGGGGAAGTGGCAGCCATGGCTTCCCTAAAACATCTCCAATAGCTGCATCAATACTCTCCTTTGACTGTTCAACAAACACACACAAATTAAAAAATAAAATAAAATGAAATAAAAATAGTAAGATAATAAATCAATTATTGGTTGTTGTTCGAAAAAAGAAGTCCTGAAAATGTCTAAGAAAATAAAAGTGCAAATGAAAATGGTAGAGATTTTGAGGGAGCCTCACCGGATAAAAATCCGATGGAGGATGGGGACCTGTTTGTCTGGTCGGGACACCAATGCCGGGGGGTTCGATTCTGTACATGACATGGATTAGATAGGTCGGAATATAGAGGTCTACGTACCACTGGGGCCGAAAATCTCTGCATTATTTGATCAAACAAAACCAAGTAAAGGCAAAGTCTTTCCACAAAAAGACATGCTCTAATTATGTGATTCGACTTTCAAGTCTTTGTGTTAGATGGAGCCAAAAACATCTCATGCATGTTTCACCATTACAACGCACTTTAAAAAAGAAAAAAAAGAAAAAAACAAGAAAGTACATTGAAAATTAATTCGAAAACTATCATAGGCATATTTCATCATCACCACACACTTCAAAAAAAAAAAAAAAAAAAAAAAAAAAAAAAAAAACCAAAGAAAGTACATTAAAAATTAATTTGAAAACGAATTGTTACTAAATTTATCGAATATCGTGCCACCAAAAAGAAATACGTTGAAATTTAGTCTGAGAATATAATGCCTAACATGAGAAATTATATACTCTTATTTTTAAGTGAGCACATTTTTAGTTACCGTAGTTGCTAGTGGTGGTGGAAAGTAAGGCGTTCCTGGTGTAAGAGAATTCAGAACCTGTACCAATAGAATATCCAAATGTCATTTTAGAAAGAGCGAGAGAAAGGAGAGAAAAGGAGGGAAGATTGATACCCTTTGATGACGAGAGTGCCAAAATGAAGAAGTGTCTGGTGGTGGCCTCGCCGAAGGAGGATGTGGAGTTGGTGTTGGTGCCCATACTGGTGGCGGTGGTGGCAGCAGTGGTGGGTGTTTAGGCCATGTGTGCATTAACGATTGATTGACTGAGGAAGGAGGAGGAGGATGACCCCAAACATGTAGAGGTCTAAAATGTTGCAAGGGTGTCATGGGAGGAGGAGGGAAACCCATTGTAGGTGATGGTGCAACCCAAGCCCCCATAGTCTTGCTTCCACCTCCACTGTACATATGCCGTCTCTGGCTCCAGCTTGCAGCCTCGGCTTCTCGTGCTAGCAAATGTTTCCGATGAGATCGATACTTCTGCACAGTCCCCAACAATTCTTCTTCAATATTATAATTCACTTCTCCTCTCTTATTCATGAAATTTATAATCTTTCAGATTAATTTGTAAATTGAAGAAAACACTACAGAGAAGTGTTTTTAAGTATAGTGTGCATTGCTTTCACTAGGTTTTAAATTCACACTTTGGGAGCTTAATTTAGAAATACCTTAATGGTGTGTTTGGTTGAGAGATTTGGAGAGGGATTTGGAAAGGGAAATGAAAAAGGTAGGTGAAATGTGAATAAATCTTGCTTATATTTCATATAGTTTCACACGCGTTTTTCCTTTCTCTTTTCAAATCTCTTCCCAAACTCTCCAACCAAACACAGTATAAAGCAACAAAAATATTGACACTATGAAATAACAATGCTATATGCGTATAAAACCGACTAATTCAAGAATCAATCTCACGGTTCATTAGCTATGTCCAATTAAAGTCGAGAAGAAAACCCATATGAACTTACCCCCCAAGAAATTATTTGCGGCCAAATTTTTTTGAATTTGAGACTATGGAGGAAGTACGCCCTCATACCTCAGACTTTGACAACCAGCCCCAACCCCTTGGAGTTCACAGCCTCAAGTTAGTGATTGACAAAATCCATTCTCATGATTGGAAAGTAAACAAATCGTAACCCTAAAAATAGTTAACCGTCAGAATTAGTAACAAACAAGCTCTCTCAAAATGCTTTTGAAATCTTTTTCCATTTTAAGTAGTCTATGTGTCTGTCTATATAATGTATTACGGGCATAACTAATTTTTGTTACTAGAAAGAAAATGGACCAAAATATGAGCAAGAAAATTGAGAGAAAATTAAGGAGCTAGTGGATAGATAGATGGATGTACTTGAAGATGACTAGCGATGTTATGGCGAGTGAGGCAATCAATTCCCATAAGCTCTAGAATCCGTGAAGGTACTGCCTTATCCACACCAAGCTGCTCCACTGCTTGCACAAATCTCCTGTGCAGCTCTGGCGTCCAATCCACCTTCACACAGTTCAATGAACACCCAACTATTATTCACTCGCAAAAATCAAATCTAATCCAATTTCTAAAGATAATTTTGTCTCATGTTTTAGATATAAATATAAAAATAAAAATAAAAACACAAAATTCTCGTGAACTCTTTGCAGTCATGTGAAACTAATAAACATGAGAGAGAGACTGTGTTATGAAATCTAAATATCATAGAGTTTATGTTAGGTTGAATTCAATATTTATTTTAATTACCTTCACTTTCCTTTTCCCTTGAGGATTCTTGGATTGTGCGGATGATTTTCTTCCTTTATCTGATTCCTTTTTCGATGGATTTACACCGACAGATTCTCCTGTCTTGCTCACAATTTCCTCTCCTTGATTCAAACTTGACCCCGAACCCGAACCCGAACCTGAACCTGAACCTGAGACCTTATCTTCCTCCTCTTTTCTTGAATTATCATCTGCTTTTTCAGCAGATGATGTGTTCATCTCTGATTCCTCACCGCCACTAGCTGAAAACTCGGCAAGGATTTCCGGGTCCATCTCCAAATCAGGCAACACATCACCATCGCTAAAGCCCACGAAAAGGTCATCGAAATCAATACTGTCGAGCAAATTCCCACCGGAGAATTCAGGGAAGTCATCGTTGCCTCCGATCGAGAAGCCCTCCATTTGTCCCTCCCTTTCATCGTTAGTGCTCCTCAAAGCTGACACAGCAAGCATTCCAAAAAGTTCTAAAACTTCACTAATAAATCAAACCTAGCCACTATATATAGATGCACTATATGGTGCAACTACGTGGTATATTGCATGCAATTACACAAGTACAACAAAACTTGTACTGATAGCTTCTTTTCCGGTGAATCGGACAGCGTTCGAAAGAAGGAGGAGGAAGAAGCAGAAGAAGAAGAAGAAGAAGAAGCAGTGGTAATAATGGGTTGGTTTTGAATTGTTGTTGTATTTTAGCAGTGTCAGTGGAGTGTGGAGATGTTGGATCTCCACCACAAGGTCTCTCAGATTTGTATTTATGTTATTGTTTTGGCTTGCAGTGTGTTTATAATATTTCCGGTTTGTGGATGGCCTTTTTTTGAAGTTTCAAAAACATCTATATATCAAAGCGTGCTCGTGAGCTATTTTTAATTGCACGCTAGGAGTTTTCCAGTGAGGAGAGAGAGACTAATAGAGATGGTCCAAATTGGTGTCAGTAGGGTTGGAATTGGATTAGATTGATACAATCCTGTGTCTATCTTACGCCATCTCCAACGGCTTTTAAATTTTGTGTCAGATTTAAAATTTGATAAAAAAATTATTTTTTAGAGCTCTAGTGATTTCACTAAATTGATATTAAAATGAGGATGAAACAAAAAATTCATCAAAATAAAAACATGCTTCAGATTTCACTATTTCACTGTGCGTTACCGTTGGGGTGGGCCAACCGGTCGACCGGTTCTCTTTCAAATAGGTAGGTTCAAACAGTTAAAAAAAAAAATTACCCTTACCGGTCGACCCTTACCGGTCGACCCTTCCTTTTTGATGCACGGTTGGAGCAAGTCATATCAGATTGAGAAAATTGACTTTTTTTACTCAAATTTGGTGAAAAATTTGGTTCGCCGTTGGAGATGCTCTTATGAATTGGAATTGGTTCCACCCACTGCCACAATGTTGTTGTGTCTGTGTTTTTTTAAAAAGTGGATGTCATATTATTAGTGGTTACTTTAGAGTACCACTTTTAGTGGTCTCTATCATTACCCTTTGGCTTTTTAGTTAAGAAAGTATAAAAGATAAAATTGGTTACTTAAGTTAATAAAATAAAATATCACATCAAAATTATAATCATTAAATTTTTTCTTTTATAAAAGTCAAAAAAGTTAAAAACAAAACTAAATGAGAGTAAAAAAATCAGGCTAAAATAACTAAAAAGCAAAAAAATCGGACTATTTTAATTTTTCCAAACAAAGACTTAGGCCTCATTTGAGAACATGCTATTTTAATAACTTTTTAGCTTTTTGACTAAAATATGAAAAAAAATTTAATATATTTGAAGTGACTTTTTATGAAAAGATGTGCAAAAAATAGAGAAAAAATAGAATCTTTAACGTTTTGATATAGATTATAGATTTATTGACTTTTTTAATAACTTTTTAATTTTTTGACTAAAATATTAACTTGCCAAATACGGGTTTAGTCTAATTCAAATTGAATAATGATATATAACAATTCATGTGTCCTCTTTGGTTGCCCAAAAGAAAAAAAGAAAAAAGAAAAATACTGGATTGGGTTTTTTCTAATATTTAATTTTGTTTGAATTTAACAGAACTTCAATGGCACGTGAAGCCACCATATATTTCATTTCGATTATATGAACATTCATTTTATAAAAATTTTAGTGTGTATTGTTCATAAAAAATTATTCCATATGAAAATAGCAATAGTTTTTATTTTATTATGTTTATTTTTAAAAAATAGATGATCTATTTTTAAAAAATATATTTGTTATTTTTTAAAATAAATATAATAAAATAAATAAATTATAATTATTAAATCGACTTAATTATTAATATATATTAACTTTTTTTATAAATAATATATATTAAAAATTTTACAAAATAAATAATCCGAATTATCGGACTTCTAGTGTAAAGGACAGACGCCAGAGATGGTATGAGTTAGCCAGAGATGCGAAACTAGTCAAAGGACTACGGTTCAGTAGCTCGGCTGCGAATCCAATGGGTATGAGTGGGTGGTTGGAATATGGAGTAACCGTATTTCATCCGCCTTTCCTTCTGAGACCATCTCCAACGCTGAATCAAAATTGATATCAAATTTAAATTTTGATAAAAAATATACTTTTTCATGCTCCAACCGTTGCATCAAATGAATATCAAATCCAGAATTCAGCAAAAATGGTACCAAACTGAGTGCAGGCGAAACATTTCACCAAATCACTGTTCTGGGGGATTATTTGAGATGTTTTAAATAAGTATATTTTTTATTTTTTTAAATTAAAAAATTTTAAAAAATGATAGATATTTGAATTAATTTTTTATGAAAAAATATGTAATAAAAATTATATAAATAAAATGTATAGTGAAAAAAAGTTGAGTGGTTGTACGACTATCCTGCTGCTCAGCAGGTCTTACACAGAAAATAATTGCCTCCTTTGAGACAAAGTGTTTGGACAATGATGGTCGGTCCGTGGGGGCCACCATGAATCCCATTTTAATAATTTGAACCATTCAATATATATAACTCGTCGAATATTATATGCCTTTAAAAAATCACATTGATCGGATATCGATAACTATATGATCGGATAAGTTTTTTTTCAACAGTTAACTATCACACTATTCGTTTTGTTTATACAAAACTGATTTGATCATATAGTTAACGATATCCGATCAACGTGATTTTTTACAAGCATATATTACTCGACGAGTTCTACATATTGATAGTTCGGATTATCAAAACGGAACCCTTAGTGGGCCCCTAAAGGCCCAACATTACCATCAAACTTTGTGACTTTACATATGTAAATTTTTTTTTTGACTCAAAAAGTGTATAATGGCCTTCCTGCTTCACAAGTACGGTAGCATGTATCCATCAAACTTTTGTATTATAAAAATATATAAAATATTTTTTAATATTTTTTATTTGTGAATAGTAATGACTTTTTTGTTTTTTGTGTAATTTTTTGACTTTTTAAATTATTTTGGACTTGCGAAACCTAGCCTAACTCTATTATTTTAATCTCATTACTTATTTTTTAATCTTCCTATGAAAAATTCTTAAAATAAATCTATTGATTAATTTTCATAACATTTAGGTAAACAATTATAATTTTCCAAAAGTTAATTTTTTTTTTCTCTCCTTATTTGTGTTGACTCACTTTAACTAAAATTTCTAATTTTAAACAATGCATTGTGTAATCATACGACAAAATTACGAAACATTTATAATACATGGCATCATCCAAATGAAATGATGAAAAAATCACAATTTATTATATTATTTTTATTTTAATAGATACATGTGAACTTACACCAGTTCTTTCTTTACACCAAGGATCCTCTAGAGTGAAATTCCTAAAGTGCTACATTGTGTGGTTGAGAGTTACTGTGACTTGCCAGTAAATCTCAACCACACAATGTAGCACTTTAGAAAACTTTAAGAAAATTCCACTCTAAAAGATTCTTGCTCCTTTCTTTATTGCTCACCTCAAGATGAAAACAGAACAACCGGAAAATAATCTATCAGCTGTGGTTAATTTTTTTTTATAAAAAAGTGATAAATATTAACAATTATAATTATAATTATAATTTTTTTATTAGTGTATAATAATTTTTTAAAGATTACCACTGAATGGTAATTTTTCCAACCTTAAATACCCAACATGTCGTACCATGGACCATTGATCTAGCACCAGAAGAGATGACCACCTCAAAAAAATAAAAATAAAAAAAGATTTTCAAACTGATGGACTAGTCCCTTTTGAATCAAATTTCCACGGAGTCAGAAAAATTGGCAAATCCAGCCTCTGCAAATTTAAGATAATTTTCAAGCTTGTCTGCATCATAAGTGCTCCCACTAATTAGATGGCAGTGAGTCTCGTCATTAATGATATGATATTTTAGTCTTGGAGTTGTGTTTTTTTTTTTTTTTTACTTTTTTAATGCATTAGTGCTATTAGTGGTGATATTTTTAGTGGGATGAATCATTGTTGTTATAATTTTCCTAAATTTTTGTCCAAAAATAGTTACTGACATCGGTGGACCCATAGAGACTTTTAGCTCACCACTTAGAACCCAATTAACGGTTTAAGTACTAAAGCCCAATGCTATTGAAACCCAACGTTGCATCAAGAACCAATGACATCTAAACACTTGTCAAAAGGAGAACCAGCCACACAAGCAGACAAAGATCCTGCAAAGTTATTGCACCATACATTAGCCATTAATGAGGCTCCAGCGGCATTAAATGCGATAACCCTTTCACGTCGGAATGGGCAACCTCACCATGAACAAGGCAAGCTAGAGCATAGACTTTCGGCCAACATGACAGGTCGGAGTGGACAAGGAAATGATGAACGAAGGATATAAGGAGGTTTCTAAAGACACAAAAAGGTTAAGTTCTCTCTCTCTCTCTCTCTCTCTCTCTCTCTCTCTCTCCGCATGGATACAACATCAATCTCTCCTCTAACTTAATCGTCGGAGGGTCCGCTGGGGAACTCTAGTTCCCCGTTAGATATTCTTGCAGGTGATCCAGCAAGCTTAAAGACTGGTGAATGTTGTAAGAAGCGTGGGTCAGCCCAACTCACTCTCCAGGAATCAACAGTATCATCAGCTGGCGCCATCTGTGGGAACGCCACTTCGGGTAACAGTTGTACTCATTGTTGCCGGAGACCCGTTCCCGATAATTACTTCACACCAGGCCGCCAAGGTGGATGGTCACAACGAGATCCATGGTTTCTCAACACAATGTCGTCGACCCCCAAGCCGACCCTCCCAACCCAAATAACCCACTTCAATACTTCACAGAACTCATCAACAGCATCAACCGTATGGCCGAGCAAAACCAGACCCTGATCAATGCTTTGCTCCAGCGAAACCTCCCTATACCTCTTCTACCACCACAAGACTTTCCCCACAATCGAGAACGAACCCCAAGTCATCCTTTCCAACATGATCACCTCTCCAACTTAGAGGGCCTGCAACCTCTGCCTCAAGACATGAACCTACCACCTCGAGGCTTACATTCATCTGTTCAAACACCAGCTCCTGAAGGAGAGGCTAGTAGTGTTCAACCCCCACTGCATTCTGGAGGTGACAATGTCCTCATTTGGGATGCGGAACTCCGAGCTATGAAACTCTAGCTTGAAGGAGTTATGCAGAACATACAAAATAAACCCTCTACGATAGCCAACTCCTCGTTTGTTGCCTCCATCAAGGACAAACCCCTACCCCCAAGTTTAAAATGCCCTTGATTGACTCATTCGACGGTACAACGGACCCAGTTGACCATCTGGAAACCTATAGGACCCTCATGATACTCCATGCTTTTCCTAACGTGATTATGTGTCGGGCTTTCCCTGTGACACTTAAGGGGTCAGCTCGGCTATGGATT